GAAAAAAAAATCTGGTAACCATACTCTAGTCTAGCATCACAGAAGGACCCTGAATTAGATCGCATGGCTTGTCCATAAGTCTGCAGAAATCTACTAGGGAACAGCAAAATGCTTGGCTCTATTCTGCAAAAAGGACCAGCTCACTGCTTGCCTTTTATGTTATTTGCTCTTTCCTGCCAGGCTGGGCAAACCATCAAAAAGATTCGTACTACTTTGCTGTCTTTCTGCCGTCAAAATGTACATAGAAGGCTCTTCGTGGCAGGGATCAATGGAATAGAAAGATCAGAATGTATGCTAATGGTGCCGTGAGGAAAACCAAAACACTGTCTTATGTATCGACAGCATGTCCGGAAATCACAGCTGTGCTCGCCTCCATCTCGTCTTCAGCTGTTTGAGAAAATGTGCTTGCTTTTTTGAGAGAGCTCTGTTCAAATGCTCGCAGTGCCCTCAAAACCTACGTCATCAAGACCTTTGGGGAGATGTCAGTGGCAGGAAAAAGAAAGGATCTATTAATATGCCAGACAACCTGTCCATTCTTCTGCCGTCCACCTAGCAAAGTTTTGGCAGACAAGATTTTGCTCCCCACTCCATTCTCCTTTGGAGATATCACATCTGCAGAAGGGATGACAGGACGCAGAAAGAACATTTCCAAATGCCATCCTGTCCCCCTGTAGAAAATGCAAGCAAAGGGGAAAGGCAGTGAGAGGACTCTTGGACCAAAATAACTCCACTAGGTGAGTGTAGGAGTGAGAGTAGCTAAAGCCAATTGGCTTAACCTTGCCTGGTTTTAGAAGGCTGCAGCCGAATCAGGAGAAATGCTGAATAAACTGCAAGTTTTGAGAAGAGAGCTCATGCAGTGTACAGCGCAGCCTCAGGTTATGTTGCCTCCAGCTTACATCACCCTCGGCTTGAGACCAGCACAAACCCAGAAGTACAGTGGTACCTTGGGTTAAGTACTTAATTCGTTCCAGAGGTCCGTTCTTAACCTGAAACTGTTCTTAACCTGAAGCACCACTTTAGCTAATGGGGCCTCCTGCTGCTGCCACACTGCTGGAGCACGATTTCTGTTCTCATCCTGAAGCAAAGTTCTTAACCTGAGGTACTATTTCTGGGTTACTGGAGTCTGTAACCTGAAGCGTATGTAACCCGAGGTACCACTGTACTGGAATGGGTTACTTCCGGATTTAAGTAAAGGACCCCTGACCATTAGGACCAGTTGTGGCCGACTCTGGGGTTGCGGGGCTCATCTCGCTTTATTGGCCGAGGGAGCCGGTGAACCAGAGCAGCACATGGAAACGCCGTTTACCTTCCCACCGGAGCGGTACCTATTTATCTACTTGCACCTTGTTGTGCTTTCAAACTGCTAGGTTGGCAGGAGCTGGGACAGAGCTTCCGGGTTTGCAGAAACGCTAAATAATGTGTACGCATGCGCAGAAGCGACACTTTGGGCTGTGTCGTTTTAGGGTTGCGGCAGATCCCCGCCATAACCCGAGGTTCCACTGTAATTGTTAAGAGTGTTGGACTATGACCTGGGAGATGAGGGTTTGAATCCCCACTCAGCCATGGAGCTCACTGGGTGACCTTGGGCCAGTTCCCACTTTTCAGCCTAACCTGCCTCGCAGGGCTGTTGTGAAGATAAAACAGGGAGGAAGAGAATCCTTTCTTACCCTCGCCTGGCTAATTCAACAGTGGGATTCCTCCATTAGATTTTAATCCTTGCTGAATCAAGGAATTAAGAGGTTTTATGGGTTTTTCCAAAGGATTCTTTAGATGTGATTCCTTGCATTGCAGGGATTGGGCTAGATGCTTAAAACTCTACAGTACCAGACCCTCCAAGTGTCCCTATTTTCCAGGGACATCCCTGATTTAGAGAAGTCATCCCGGTTTCTGATTTGATCCTGGAATGTCCCACTTTTCCTTAGGATGTCCCTATTTTCATTGGAGAAATGTTGGAGGGTATGGAGTTATCCGACCCCTGAGCAGTCTGAAGGCAATCCTGTATAGGGAAGGTTTTTTTTTAAAAAAAATGTTTAATGCTTTATTATGTTTTCATATATGTTGGAAGCCACCTAGGGTGGCAGGGGCAACCCAGTAAGATGTGTGGGGTATAAATAGTAAAATTATCACCACAGAATAGTACGTCCCTGTTTTCATCAGAGAAAACAGCCCCAGCCCTGTATACCTGAAGGAGCGTCTCCACCTCCATCATTCAGCCTGGACAATGAAGTCCAGCTCTGAGGGCCTTCTGGCAGTTCCCAGAGAAGTGAAGTGAAGTTGGGAGAAGTGAAGTTACAGGGAACCAGGCAGAGGGCCTTCTTGGTAGTGGCGCCTGCCCTGTGGAATGCCCTCCCAGCATATGTTAAGGAAATAAAAAAGTATCTGACTTTTAGACGACATCTGAAGGCAGCTCTGTTTAGGGGAGTTTTTAATGTTTGATGTTTTATCGTGTTTTTAATATTCTGTTGGTAGCCACCCAGAGTGGCTGGGGAAACCCAGCCAGATGGGTGGGGTATAAATAAATAATAATAATAGTTGTTGTTGTGTTGTTGTTGTTGGAGGGTATGCAGTACTGTGATTTTATGCACAACAAATCAGAAAACTGCCACACCCCAAAAACATGGGGGAGGCTCTCCCAAAGAAGCAATTATGGAGGTTTACTCTCTCTCCCTCACCAGCTTTGCAGTAGATATTTCTGAAACCAATTAGAGCAATTTGAACTCCAGCTCCTCCCCTCCTAAAACACACACCTTTCTCTCCACCTGTCTGATCACCTGTCTGCAGACTCAAATGGGCAGCCGTTACCACCAGCTGCCAGTTGACTATCTCCATTCTTTCCACCTCGCTGCACCTCCTTGCATTCTGTCACTACAAATTAACCGGCTGCTGAGACAGCCAAGCTACTTTGTCAGAAATTAAATGTAAAGGAGCAGGGTGTGTGTGAGGAGGAGAGCAACGAGGGTTCGGAATGCATTTTTAGAGCGGAGCAAAAGGAAGCCTCTCTCTCTTTCTCTCTCCAGGGGTTGAGAGTTGACCTGCTGCCTATGTAGACCAAACTAGGGTTTCAGCAGGGACGCGGGTGGCGCTGTGGGTTAAACCACAGAGCCTAGGACTTGCCGATCAGAACGTCGGCGGTTTGAATCCCCGCGATGGGGTGAGCTCCCGTTGCTTGGTTCCTGCTCCTGCCAACCTAGCAGTTCGAAAGCACGTCAAAGTTCAAGTAGATAAATAGGTACCACTCTGGTGGGAAGGTAAACGGCATTTCTGTGCGCTGCTCTGGTTCGCCAGAAGCAGCTTAGTTATGCTGTCCACATGACCCGGAAGCTGTAAGCCAGCTCCCTTGGCCAATAAAGCGAGATGAGCGCCGCAATCCCCAGAGTCAGTCACGACTGGACCTAATAATGGTCAGGGGTCCCTTTACCTTTACCTTTAGGGTTCCGGCAGGTGGGTGAGTGGGGTTTGTTTGGGTCACATGTGAATGAAAGGTGGAGCACACCACATTTCATTAAAAAGAAAGAGAGAAAGAAGAACAGGAAACCTGTTGAAGCATATTGACCCCAAGGTCCGCCTTCTTCCAGATGGCACCAGACTCAAACCTTCTTCATCAGACCTTGCCCCTTCCGAGGTTCATAAGCACCCTCAATGAACTACAATTCCCAGGGTTCTTTGGGGGAAGCCATGACAGCGGCACCAGTTTTATGCAGATTTCTTTTCCACGCCTGTCACTCCTCCACAGGTAAGGTCACTATTGTGGAGACGGACCTGCAAGTATCTGAGTGCATCTCCTCAAAGACATTCCCAAATATTCTCTTTCTGCTTGTCCCCAAAAGAGTTTCTAAGGCATGTGCCTTTAGATGTGCAAATCTACATGGAGACTGCTTAAATGTACAACAGGAACACACCACATTTTATGCAGGGAGACTTGCCATTATTTTTTATTGATTATAGATAAGTGTAAACTGCTTTAAAAAATATTGTCTGATGTTTAATTTTACTGTTTACTATTAGATTCTAATGAATTATTGAATATTGCTTTATTTGATATAAGTTGTTTATTTTAAAGTTATTGTGACTTCTCATATAGGATCAGATTGCTATTATTAATGTTTGATGTTTTAATATGTTTAAATATGTGTTGGAAGCCACCCAGAGTGGCTGGGGCTATCCCACCATGCCTCTAGAATTTAGCTACTAGCTGTTTTCCAATACTGGTAGGTCCTTAAACAGTAAATTCTTATCATTATCAGATAGAGCTGTTCCTCCCAGGTAAGCTTAGTCTGAAGACGACTGCTGCTAAAACAACATCTGAGTCTCCAGCACAGCACTCTGGAGCTGTCCAGGGTACTGTAGTAGCCTTGGCTCAGCTCCATGCTGTTGAGGCCATTGCCCCAAACACAACACATTTCACTCATGTCAAGCAACAGCACAGAAAGGCAGGAACCACAAGCAAAAACTCGCAAGGGCCTGCAGCCCAAATTTGCCACAAATCTAAGCCATTGGAGTGTGCAGGATGGAATAACGCATATTCTAAGTGCAACTATAACGTTCCCCTCCAAATCTGGGATTTTACAAGTGCTTAAAGGGAACGAAAGGGGTAGAGGGACGTGTAAGGGCAACAGAAACCCAAACAGCAGCGTTATATCTGCATTGAAAGAGTTGAGGAAATTAATTTTCCACCCAAATCGTGCTAGGAGCCTGCAATGATTGATAGCCTTTTTTGGAGAGGCATTAAAGCACTGAATTGGATTCAGTTTATGGAAGAGTAATCTAATCCCCTCTGGCCCTCCCCTTTCCATTCTACCCTTAATCTGAAAGTGTGCAGGCGGCGTTTGGTCCGACAAGGCCCTCTCGGGCCACACTTTGATGTGAATGCTCCCCCTCCCCTCTGTTTGTGTGTTTGTGTGTCTCCATCCCACACCCTCTTCTCAATCCTCTTTGCACTTCTCTGTCCCTTCCTTCCCTTGGACAGTTTCTGTCTGCGTCCGGACGCCAGCCTTGCTCACCTTTGAAAGTCCGCCAACCTCCAAATAAAAGCAGATGATGAAGATGTTCCAAGTGACCCAGATGGCTGTCCAGATGGCATACTGGGTGGAGAAAGAGAAAGAAGTCAAAGTTGCAGAAGAGGGAAAAAGCAAAACGAGCACAAGGCCGGCGCCGCAGATGCAGACCATTCAACGCCATGATCTGAACAGCAACAAAGTCAGAGCCCTCTGTGCTTCTGGTGGCCTGATAGATTTCAACTAAGAACAAAGACTTAGCATTGGGTAGCAACAATGACCCCCCTGGGTGCTGCTGCAAAGGGCAGTTCACAGCAGTGGGTGTGAGAGGAGCTCTTAATTAGAGTGGCCATGTCATTATGTTATTCTAACCCATCCATTTCAAAGCAAAAGAAGCACAATGCAAATATGTGTTGGGGGGGGATATAATCAATTACATATCATTTGAGGTCTGAAAGTAACAGCAGCAGTGAATACTGATCATATTTCCTGGACTGATTTCCATTCTGGACTAGGGACAAGTCAAGAAATGTTGGCAATTTCTGCCCCCGTTTCTGTTTCCACCAGAATTTTCCGACATCCCTAGTGTCCATGTGGAATCCCCTGGATTCCAAATCAGGTCACCATAGTGACTGGCAATCTTCGCTTGCCAAGATCATTGACGGTGGACTTTATCACTTGAGCAATGATGCCGGTCAATGAGGAATCTCCCTCTTCAATAACTGGCAGTGATAAACCCAGGCTTGGTTGGGAGACGGGTGGCAGAGAGAGGGTTTTAAAAATATACAAATCATCTGTCAGGCAGAAAAGCCTCCTTGATATAGATTTCCAGAAACCACAAGGAGCACCTCAGGCTTCGAAGACAGTAAATAGCATGGACCCATTCCAGAAGGGAGGTTTCCAACACCATCAAAATGAAACAGAGCACCTCAGAGAACCGGGGGGGAGATGCCTTTCATTTGGGTGGGCAAGGAAAACTTTCTGCCTGGCTCTGACCCGCCAAGTCAGGAACATTTAGCCCCGCAGCTATTTGGAGCTGAGCAATGGCACCAAAGGGCCAGCTTTCCATCACAGAATGCAAAAGCCAGCATTGGTGAGGCACGATTGGTCACCTTAATGAAAGACATTTGCACAGGGCAGCGCGCTTCAAACTGGCAATTAGGGCAGTGGCTGCTCGTCCCATTAACAGCGCAGTAATTTAATTTATATCCAAAAGGCTGTGTAATAAAGTGAAGCAGCCTGATTAAAATAAATTATGCACACTCTGTTGGAAGCAGCAAGTGAAAGGGCAGATTTGTTGATAATCAGAGCTGCCCCACTGTCAGCCGGCGGCCAAAGTCTTGTGACGCATATGCGCACTGTAGCTAGGAAAGATCCAAACCGGTTATGGGCCCATGAAGAGAACTACAGTGGTACCTCGCAAGACGAATGCCTCGAAAGACGAAAAACTCGCAAGACGAAAGGGTTTTTGGTTTTTTGAGTTGCTTCGCAAGATGAATTTCCCTATGGGCTTGCTTCGCAAGACGAAAACGTCTTGCAAGTTTGTTTCCTTTTTCTTAAAACCGTTAATACCCAGGGTGCATTGCTTGAAGAGGTGCAGTTGCGACTTGACTTTGAGGAGCAACTCATAGCACGCGGTGTGGTAGCCTGCTGGAGAATGTTGGGGCCACTTCTTAAAATTACTGCAGACTTAATACAGTGGTGCTTCGCAAGACGAAAAATTCGCAAGACGAAAAAACTCGCAGAACGAATTAATTCGTCTTGCGAGGCACCACTGTATGTGCACTACTAACAAGGTTAGTGTGACACAGAAACCCACTGTACGTGTGTGTGTGTGTGTGTGTGTGTGTACACTGCAGGATGACATGCCTGCCCACTTCCCCCTCCAACCCCACCCCACCCCTCACCAACTTCCATACCTTTACATTTCAGCACCCCGCTTCCCCCTCTCCGAACTCACCACTAACCTTAACCTTGCCAGCCCACCCATTGCAGCTCACCCAAACTGTTCTCGTTCCCTCTGTACATGCATTGACAGTGGGGAATGGGGGAGAAATAAGTTTCTTTCTTCCCTTCATTCTCCCCCAGCCCCCCGCTGCTGGCAGCACTGTGGAATGCTGCCCTTCGGTCCTCAGGACATATGATAAAATGAATTTATCACCCAATTAACCAAGTAGTAGTTTAATGGCAAATGGGAATCAAGCCCCGGGATGTATTCAAGGTAGCGCTGAGGACAAGGTTCCGTCAGTGCAAGGATTTCTCCTTGTGCAACAGAACACTCCCCCTGTCTCCTCCTAAATCTGTTCTGGGGTTTCCCCCAACCCTCCAGAGCACATTTTGTGGGAGATTGCAGTCAAACATAACTATTCATGAGTTCTAGTTAGCAGCGGTGTAGCTAACCGCTCAGGCATCTGGGGTGGGTAGCTACACCCTGTGTGTGTGCCCCATGCCCGGGGGGCAAGGCACTCTGGGTGGAGTCTGCATGGAGTCTGCCTGCCACCTCCCCCTTAGCTGCAGGGCAGTGAAGTGCCTGCAGGTGCCCGAGCCACTGTGTCACTCCCAGGAGAGACACGTGGCTCTGATGTGCTGCAGGCCCCAATGTAAGTGCTGAGCCCTGGGTAAGCGGTGCCCAGTGCACTCCACTCCCCCCGCCCCAGCTAAGCTGCTGCTAGTTAGTGCATGAAAGTGTTAAGATCAGAGAGTGTTCTTCCTAGACACAGCTAGGTCACTTAGGAAGCTAGGTCTATACGGGAGGAAGTGAAGCTGCTTCTATTTCCTTTCCCTCACTTTCTCAGCACAAGGTAACCTACCAGGATGGGTGTGCCTAAACTTGCTCCAAGTTCAGACCGCATGTTTGAAACTATAGGCTGTATTTTGCACCCAAGGGTAATCTACCTGTGCTTTCCTTGCTGCTACATGGAATAATGCGTGAACCACACCTTTACATTTTGTAAGTAAAGCATTTTAAACTTACTTAACAGTGTGATCTGTTCATTGCGAGAGGAATAGAAAATGGGGAAAGTGCTATATGCAACTAAACAGGATGTACAAAAGGCTTAACAGCCTAGATTCCTAATGCTTCACTGTGTTGCTTGACTTTGTGAGTTTAAACTCTGCTGCTGTCGCTCTCTCTTGCTGGAGTGTATGTTTAGCCCTGCTTTTTGAATCCAGGCATTCAGCTGATTCTTTTATTATTTACCCCATATACATGGGTCACAGGGATCCACATATTTTCAAAGATTTGGAGATGGCATAGGGCACACACAGGGAGAGGAGAGTGGGGAAATCCCATTGCACTAGACCTAATCCTTGTGCTAGCTCCAATATTCCATTAAATACCACCCCCTGGTTTTTAAGGGCTAGTCTTAAATTCATCTTTAGGAATCTTAAAAAACAAAACAAAACCCCAGACAGAACTTTGCTACTTACCACCACGATGTAGCGTGGCCTGTACTGGATTGTACCAAACAGGCCAAGGATGACAATGATTATGTGGAGGAAATTGGCAAGAATTGGAGCCCATTGGTATCCCAGGAAATCAAACACTTGTCTCTCTAAGGCAGCAAGCTGGAAAAGAAAGAGGAGGGGGAGGCTGTGATTTCTGCATTGCAAGGGGCTTGGAGTGGATGACCCTTTGGGTCTTTTCCAAATCTACAATTTCTACAATCCTGTGATGAATAATTGCAAATTGGAGGCTTGCTTTGAAAATGCTTGTTTTTCAAAAAATGGAATTGTTCCTCTGTTGGTGGCAATCCCTGGACTGCCATGGTTTGGTGCAAACGATACAATCATACGCATCAAATTTAGGTTGCACGATTGAAGTGGATTTGGGCACTCTTGTGCAACAAAGAAGCAGAGCTTTTTTTTTTTTGGTAAGGAAAGAGATGGGGAAATGTACTTGAAAGTGCAGAATTGCAGCAACATCGGGCGATGTCGAATAGGCTGCATGCAAGCAAATCAGAATGATTGCTCTAAGTTTTCTGCCAGCAGCTCAGGAAGAATGCTCCATAGGAAGGACCTCTGGATGAGAACTCTGTCTAGTTCTTTTCCCCCCATATCCTCTGAAAGTTCACCATACGCCAAGACTGACTGTGTACCAAAGAAACTAAAACATTTTTTATGCTCACAATAAATTCAGCAGGGCAGTATGAACATGTGCCAATTCCCTGTGCAATGCACCACGCATACATGCATTCATTCTGCCGTATTTCGAACCTGCAAATATTTGAGGGTGATTTGCATCCGGGTGGATTTGGGCAAGGAGGTTGCTGCAAAAGAAATGGGATTGACTACACACTACACACACACAAAGAGGCACCGTGATGCCTAGACAAGAGGTCCTAATAAGCCAGGAACAGCAGTGGTATTCAGAGTAAAGAGATGTTTGCACAGATGGAACAAATGGAAGGATGCCATGTTGAATTCAACCCAATGTACCTTAGTTACCCATGTCTATTAATTTCCATGTGTCTTGTCTGAGTATCACCCACCCCTTCTGTTTAATGGACTCATGCAGGAGAACTCCGGGGATCATGCCCACTGCCTCTTCTCTCGTCTTTGCGGGATACAGCTAACAATCATTCTCGCTCTTCTTTTTTGACAGCTTTGAAAGCCGCATTCTTCAACTCCAAGGGAGCCAATTTAATTAAACAGCCAGACAGGTACCATCAGCAATCTTGCAGGAAGCACGCGAGCTACTGAATGAACAAGTCCCATACCTGGGAAAGTGGCACTGGAAGGTTATTATTCATTTCAAAATCAATTTTCTCTGCATCATCAGAGCCAGCGGCAATGTGTTAAGCCCTTAATCTTTCATTAGAAGGATCAAAGCACAAATGGCGGCGACGTTTAGGAGTCCCGGATTCTGGCTGGCTGGCTGGAGGACACGTGACCGCAATCAGTTTATCCAATCGGGCATTTAATTGGCTTTGTTTGTTACTTTGAGCCCAGAAATGTAGATAAAGCACCAGCCCGTCCATATATTAGTTTACCTATTTAGCAAGGAAACCCTTCAGTGGTGTATGTTACAGAGAGATAACCCCATGCCTTCTGGATTTTGCGAGAAGTGAGCTTGACTTTGCTTCCTGCCTGCAATCGCTGGGACCAAAGAGTGTCATGATCCAAAGCAGCAACTACAGTGGTACCTCGGGTTAAGTACTTAATTCGTTCCGGAGGTCTGTTCTTAACCAGAAACTGTTCTTAACCTGAAGCACCACTTTAGCTAATGGGGCCTCCTGCTGCCGCCGCGCCGCCGGAGCATGATTTCTGTTCTCATCCTGAAGCAAAGTTCTTAACCTGAAGCACTATTTCTGGGTTAGCGGAGTGTGTAACCTGAAGCGTATGTAACCTGAAGCGTATGTAACCTGAGGTACCACTGTATATCTAGATTCCACACAGAATGTAGTTAAACATTCTTACAAAAGGGACTGGTGGCCATCAACTTAGATGGCTTTCAAAGAGGATCTGACAGATTCATGGAATAAAAGGCTATCAAAAACTAGTAGTCATAAGGGTTGTGTTCTTCCCAGTGGTGTAGCACAGGTTGCTGATGGCCGGGACGGGGCACGTGTTGTGCCCCCTGGTGGACTGGGCAGCCTGGCGGTGCTGGGCCATCAATGAGGAAGCTGCCTCCACACACCTCCATAGCTTCTGAGTATTTTGCCTTGTTCATGTGCCATGGAATCTTGACTACTGTCCCTTCTGCTTGCCATTGTGCCTGTACTGCTCTCAGCCGGAATGAAGATATTTTCCTTACTTTCCAGTAAGTGTCGTTGTCCTTGTGCGTTGAGAGGGCAACCCAACCAAATCATTATCTAGCTCACAAGAAACATCAGAGCATATGCTCCTCTAAAAGAACAACTCCTATTAAACAAGACGGAAACCTGATTGAATTTTTTCTTAATCAATTATTTGGCAGACTTTTACTTAATTAATCTGTCAATTAAATGTGCATAAATTTGCATGCACTAAAACAATGCTTCTGAAGCCAGAGGCTTTCTTTATGTTTCATCGTAGTCGTCGTCGAAGGCATTCATGCCCTCCTACATGAGAGAAAGGGAGGTATGCCTCTTTAGACATCTTGCCATCTGCAATTTTTAATTGCATTTTTAATTGCATGGAAAAAAAGAGAGTCTGCTGTCTGTTTAATCGGTGGCAACTTCTTAACTGATGGATTAAATTTAACTAATTGAAGACCACAGCTCCATACTTTTAAAGCATGCATAAAGGGATGAGGATTTTGCTGCAGGTTGTCAGGGGAAGCCACTTGGCTGTAAGGAAACCTCCCATGTCCTGAAATAGTCTGCTCAGTTGGGAGCTTCCTGCCTCCAAAGCCCCGCCTATGATATCCATGGCGATGCCTGATTGGCCACTGCAGGAAGCAGGATGCTGAACTAGATGGACTGTTGGTCTGATCATAGGGATGCAGGTGGCGCTGTGGTCTAAACCACTGAGCCTCTTGGGCTTCCCGATTGGAAGGTCGGCAGTTCGAATCCCCGCAATGGAGTGAGCTCTCGTTGCTCTGTCCCAGCTCCTGCCAACCCAGCAGTTCGAAAGCACACCAGTACAAGTAGATAAATAGGTACTGCTGTGGTGGGAAGGTAAACAGCGTTTCCATGCGCTCTGGCTTCCATCATGGTGTCCTGTTGCGCCAGAAGCGGTTTCGTCATGCTGGCCACATGACCCGGAAAGCTGTCTGCAGACAAACGCCGGCTCCCTCAACCTGAAAGCGAGCTGAGCGCCGCAACCCCATAGTCACCTTTGACTGGACTTAAAAATCCAGGGGTCCTTTTCCTTACCTTTTCCCTTTACCCAGATCAGATCAGATCAGGTGAACCCCTTTTGGTACGGTGGATCCTTCCTCCATCTGTAATAATGACAAGGCCTGCCAGACCCAAAACGAAAGGCTTTCCAGAGACACGAGGCCATGACAAAGAAGGCGCTTTCCTAGAACTCAACTATCTAACTGCTATCAGAGGCGGGCAGGAGAGAGTGCCTGTCGCTGACCTTAACATGCAGGCGGCCTGAGATGACTGTATAAGAAGGTAAGATGAACCTACTGCTCTGAGCTCTAGCAAGAAGAATGCCCAGTGGCCCTGGCATCCTTCCCCAACCTGGTGCCCTCCAGATGCCGTTGGACTCCAGTTCCCATGAGCGCCGCAACCCCATAGTCACCTGTGACTGGACTTAACTGTCCAGCGGTCCTTTACCTTTACATTTACCTTGGTCTGATCCCAGCAGCGCTCTTCTTAGGTTTACCTAACTACTGCCCAGTACCTGCCAGACTCAGATGGGCAGTTCCCTTCTGTTTCTGCCATGTAGCCATTCCTTAGATGGTTTGCCTTGCATTGATATGCAATTACTCATTTTGTCCCCTGCCCACGGACAGCATCGCAGCTTGCGATGCCAGGATTTGATCTTGGCAAGGAACAGGGAATAAGTGCCCATGCTGGCTGCAGGGGTGGGTTTAGGGCAGCGTGACTGGTTCCCCTGCACTGGGTGGGGGATGGGGTGTCACAACTATGACGTAGTGCATGCAGAGAACGGAATACAAGAGGCAGGAGGTACCAAATTTTGGGCTCACACAGGGCTCCACTGAAATTTGAAAGACCAAAGTCTGGCAGGAACAAATTGGCATACAGAGGTCTGAAAGGTTTAAGACATGGGTAGGCAAATTAAGGCCCGGGGGCCGGATCCAGTCCAATTGCCTTCTCAATCCAGCCAGCGGACGGTCCGGGAATCAGCGTGTTTTTACATGAGCAGAATGTGTTCTTTTATTTAAAATGCATCTCTGGGTTATTTGTGGGGCATAGGAATTTGTTCATATATTTCCCCCCCAAAATATAGTCTGCCCCCCACAAGGTCTGAGGGACAGTGGACTGGCCCCCTGCTGAAAAAGTTTGCATCTTCTAAATCAGGGGTCGGCAAAGTTATTAGTTCATCAGATTGCACATACTGCGACTGTTCTTAGTTACTGGGACCTCGCTCTAATATCATTTATTTCTCAGATTTATTTCCGAGAGGCATTTTTAAAGCCCTGGTGGATCAGACTATTGGCCCATCTGGTCCGGCATCCAGAGGCGAAGCTCAGCCACTGAACTTCTTTATCTGAATTGGGATTTGAACCCTGATCTCTCAGGTCCTAGCACAACACTTTTAGCCATGGCACCACTGTGCGAACGCCAGTGTAGGTTTTGACCTGTTCCTGTAACCTACTGTAATTCAATCATGCTTCTCGGCAGTGGCGCCCTCCCTGTGGAACGCCCTCCCATCAGATGTCAGGGAGATAAAAGAATTACATAACTTTTAGAAAACATCTGAAGGCAGCCCTGTTCAGAGAAGTTTTTAATGTCTGACATTTTTTTATTTTTTTTATTTTGCTGGAAGCTGCCCAGAGTGGCTGGGGGAGAAACAATATTATGATTATTGTTGTTGTGGTTGTTATTTCTAGCTGCATATCCGTAATAGTAGGAAAAATCCTACCTCCATATACATGCTCTTTGTGATTAAATGAATGCAGATCAGGCTCTGATAAGCTAAATGAAAGCAGCAGGCAGAGCGGAGCAGAG